GCAGTTTGTGCGACTGTTTTCATTTTTAGGTCGGAGTGTAATGTTTGATTTGTTACGTATAGAATGGAGCATAAAAGATTAGGTGGAAGATTTTATTTTGGGAAACTTGGATTTTATTTGGGTTTGATTTTTTGGCGGATCCCCACATCTGGATACCGTATTGGTTTTAGGAGGAATTTATAGAGATTATGTTTTATGTGAAGAGTAAAAGTTTTGACTTTTGAATGCAGGATTTGTTTAAGTAAGCGTATATGGGTGTTTATTTTGAGTTTTATACAGTGGATATGGTGTGCCCAGTTCAGTTTTTTTTTTATCGAAATGTAGTCCATGATATTTTGTTGTATTTGAGGTAGGTATTATAATATTATTTAATGTTATCGGTTGGAAATTTAAAAATTTGGCATTATTATAAGTTTGCATTCTTTTTTATTTAGATAAAAAATAAAAATAAAACTCGTAAGAGTATAATAAGAATAATATAGATATTTAATTTTCATAAAATTTAAGTTGGTACGTAAAATATTCTCTAAAATACCAAAAACYATACCATCAGTATAATATAATGGGAAAGTATAATATATAGCAATAAAAAAATTATGTTTTTGTTTCAATTCTAAATTTAAGGTTACTATGTCACGAAATAACTTTAATTTTTCATTCTACTTAATCTTTATAAAAATCTGTGTATTAAAAGCTCATGTAACACGATAATGGAGTTATTTTGCGATGTGTTAAAATCATCTGACGTTGATGTATTGTTTGAATTTCCAAAGCTGTAAGGTTCATAAACAATAGAACAGAATATAATAATATTATATTATATTGTATTATTTAAAAACGTATTTCACTTATAGTAGTGAAATAAAAAACACTAAAATAAAGCTTAGAGGTAGTCGTCGACAGACATGTTTTAGGAACCATTAGTTCACTATTGATTCATTAAATGCTTAATGGTTGTTCATGGGGCAACTAGCATAATTATATTTCCTGCAAGCTATTTGTCTGATTTATAGTCAATAGATAATCTAACCCCATTTTTTTACAAGTATGTTCTACTCTATTTTATTATATTATTTAAAAAAAAAATGATATGCACTCGTAGTATTCTAGAAGTCATTACTGTTATGACATCTTAAATAGTTATTATTAAACATTAAAAGACTGGAAATAATCCAAATAGGAGACCCGCATATAATAATAATATGTTTAGCAATATATATATTATAATAATTATAATGGTTTGTCAATTTTTAATTACAATAAATTGCATGATAAAGTAAAAAAGATCGCCAATTAATTTTAAATCATATTTCGTTTATACCATGTGTGAAAACTATTMATTACAGAATTTTTAAGATAATATCTTCATTTCAATATAAAATTTTTTAGAAAATTTAAATATTAAACTTTTTGGTTACCGAACGATTACTGTATTGGTTTTATAATGATCTAGTGTTTTTATTTATTTATTTTTTGTGTATGAACACATTTTTCATACAAGGAGCTCAGTCAGTATTTTCTGGAAACAAAATTAGATTTAGTTGGTACTTTGGTAAAAAGGTAAAACCAAAAATTCATCGTATTTTTTTTTTCATAATTGTGAGAAAGTAAAAATAAGTACGGGAATATTTACACAATGCCAATTTTTAACAAAATCGATATTGTTATTTTGTTGTATTMAAAAACAAATAACCGTATTTCTTTGCAATTTAGCGTTTTCTATAATTTTTTTTCATCGATCTATAGAATTTTGAAATATTAGATTTTTCGAAGTTTTATTTTTTTGAATGTTAATCAACATTTTCATCTTCAGTAAAAAAGTTTGACAATTTAATAAAAATGTTCTTATTAAGTTTATCTTACAAGTTAATTGTAAATCTGCACTAATTTCTTAAAAGTTTTTGAAGTWAGAACTTTGACAAAAGTCGTTAAAATCAAAAATTATTCTGTTATTAAAGATTCKTAATAGTTTCAATTTTAATTTCTAAGAATAGAAGATTTAAGACAAAATTTCTCATAGTTTTGAT